TATTATTATTATTATTATCATTATCATTATTATTATTATTATTAATATTATTATTATGTTGAGATTAGTCTGAATTCGCCAGAGTTTGCTTCTCCGGAGAACCTGGTAGTTCGACACATCGCTATCTCAGAATCTCTGACATTTTGGGCCGTTTTGAGTCACTAAGCAAGACCAGGTGTGAGCAGAGTAAGTCTGATTCCCTGTAAAGACTTCTCTGTTGACACCCACCCCTTGTCGCTCATATGACGTTATGCAGTTGCGAGCGCCGTAAAACTCTCTACATTAAAAAAAAAAGATAATTCAATTGTTACATTCAAAAATGCTTGAGGTGTTGTGAAACTCCTCTCTTTGAGCCAATCAAACATTTGTCCTCAAAATCCGGTGACGCCCTCTTCGAAAAAAAGGGCGGGAATTCGCGAAAAGAGTTACGCCACTTGTGTGATAAACAATAAAAGCGAAACTAACAAACTGTGCTATTTCTATTCTTCTTCTGGAGAAACGAAAGAGAGCTTCAAAACCTGACCATCAATGATTTATTTATAGAGGCACCAGCCATCCATGTCCAGGTGCTGTTTTAGCCAGAGCTTCGAAACAAAGACTGCAGCGCCATCTGAACCAAAGCGCGGACTTCCGCGGACACTTTTTAGGTCGAGTGAACTATCTTGTTATGAACGATCTTTGTTATCAGCCAGCTATGACGTCTTATATATCCCCACACGAGAAATCGAGTCAGTGATCTGATCGGTCGGCAGCCAGTCACTGTACGCCCGGCTCACGTCTAGTTTGTGAAATGTCAAGATCTGTTCGGGAAAACAAATATTATTATAGATCTCCACTCTATTGGGATTCTAGCAAAACTTGTGCCTCATCGTTATCATTAAGTGCTTTTCTTCGTCCGAGCTTCTTGGGGTAAGTTCACATTATTATAAAGCTTTAGCATCATTATCGAGGTTATCATTGTTCTATTTATTTATTTATTTATTTATTTATTTATTTATTTATTTATTTATTTATTTATTTAAAACCTTCATTCATTCATTCATATATTCACTTCATGCATTCATTTATTATTCTTTCATTAAAAAATATTTGGGTACTTAGTTACGTTGTTTTTTAAAAATTAATATGTAATTATTAAAATTTGTCTTTTTTATTCGTTACCGGTATTTATTAATAGCTGCCCCATTCCTTTAACACGACAACACAATGCATTACTTTCGACCTCTCCATGCACTACAGTTAGTCACGACTATTTCACCACAGTTGCTGCTGTGACTACATCTCTGGAACATATCTTTTAAACAAAAATAAAATGTTATACGTAAAGAGAGCGCTTTATCTACATTACTAAGGGGTAAACGAAAAAATAGCCTTTAAGGGCAAAAAATCTCGGAGGGCCCGTGTGTATGTTGCGCACGTTAAAGATCCCTTGGTGGTCTAAAATCGATAAGAGTAGGCTTCGGCCGCCACCCGGGCAAAATTCAAAATTTCCTACCAACTGGAAAAGTTTGAAGTGTCCCGCGCGCTCATTTGACCGTATGCAGTTGCGAGCGCCGTAAAACACTTACCACCA